CCCCGGGGCTTGGACAAGGAGGCTGGCTGAGACCCGGCCTGCGTGGGTCCCTGTCAGTGCAGAACGCTGGACAGGAAACCTCCGCATCTGAGAGTCAGGATCGACTGTAAACCCCTCCTGCCCTCGTGTCATCCATCACAGAGAGGCGCGTCCATTGCCATTTTGTCCTGATCAGACTTGAATTTCTGTTGGGCTGCAAAGGCCCTGGTGGATCCACAGCAGGGTTATGAACTCTTCGTATAAAAGCCTCTTTATAAATAAGATTTCTGACGGCTGTAACGATGTTGTTATCTGGGAGAGGGAGTGAGGGAGGAAAGGGAAGACGCGTGCAGAGGGCGGGCAGCGAAGGCAAAGTGACAAAGTTCGAGGAAGCGTGGTCACGAGACAGCGGTCCCGGTCGCCTCACTGGCAGGGGCCCGAGGTTGGCTTTTCAGAGCAGAAAACCCACAGGAAAGGGGAGTCCGTCCATCGTCTGTGTGTTTCCTGACTCGTCTTCACACAGAAACAAAATGACCCTTCGCTGCCTGAGCATCTGGAATCCCAGGAGTGGCTGCCCTCGCGTCTGAGATGTTCACTTCCCGCCTGTGGGCTCCTCAGCAGGTCTCCAGATTCGTGGCCTTTAATTTAACAGTGGAGCTACCACTGCCAGGAAATTTTCTTTTTTTTTAAATAATATGTTTTTTTAATTGATTCAGAGAAGAAAGGAGAGGAAGAGAGAGAGAAACATCAATGATGAGAGGGAATCATTGATCGGCCGCCTCCTGCACACCCCCTACTGGGAATTGAGCCCGCAACCCAGGCATGTGCCCTTGACTGGAATCGAACCCAGGACCCTTCCATCTGCAGGCCGACGCTGTATCAACTGAGCCAAACTGTCTAGGGCAGTGGTCAGCAAACTCATTAGTCAACAGAGCCAAATATCAACAGTACAACAATTGAAATTTCTTTTGAGAGCCAAATTTCTTAAACTTAAACTATATAGGTAGGTACATTGTTATTAACTTAATTAGGGTACTCCTAAGGCTTAGGAAGAGCCACACTCAAGGGCCAAAGAGCCACCTGTGGCTCTCGAGCCGCAGTTTGCCAACCACGGGTCTAGGGCAGAAATTTTTATTTTTATTTTTTTTCAGACAAAAAAAGACAGTTAAGCAAAAAACATGTCATAGTAAGTGTACCATTTACTCCTCTTAACCTTTGTCCTTGGTCCAGTTAGTGAAGGGGCGTGTGCGTGTCACTTCTTCCATCGGAGAAAATCAGGGAATTCCAAGAAACAAGGACTTTTCAGGAAACATCATCACACCACAAACCCCGTCCCCCTGTGCTGCCTCATGAGCATTGGGGGTGTGTTTGTTTATCCTCCTGTAATTCCTAGGAAGTGTCAGAGGAAATTCATGTCACAGGAGAAAGACGTCCAGTCACAGGTAACGTGTATGAAACACTCTACACGTCTGCATGTAACCCTGTCTCCGGTCACGCAGCAGTGAGCGTTGTCCTTTTAACAGGCCCCCGGGCATCATGCTTACCACGGGGCTGTGTGGCAAGACGGCCTTGTTTGCCATTGTCCACCAGTTACTGGTCCTTTGCCCTCTGCTCTTTGCCCTTTGCCCTCTCCCAGCTAAAGAGTTAGAGACGTGGGCGGCTCCCTGCGCCCTCGGCCTCCTGCTCACCTGTCCACACCTGGCACATTCTCCAAGTTTCTTCCAACTTTAAAAAATAAAAATAGTGCCCGGCCGGTGTGGCTGAGCATCGACCTCTGAGCCAGAAGGTCACAGCTCCATTCCGAGTCAGGGCACATGCCCGGGTTGCAGGCTCAATGTCCAGTAGGGGGCGTGCAGGAGGCAGCCGATCCATGATCCTCTCTCATCATTGCTGTTTCTATCCCTCCCTCCCTCTACTTTCCTCTCTAAAATCAATTAAGATATATTTTAAAATAAATAAACAAAATTTTAGAAAACATGCCTCCTTCGATCCTGCATCCTTTCTAATAACTGGCTCCCCCTTACTTCCAGCCAGTACTCCTGAGAACATGGTCTGGTCCCACCGGCCACCCTCACCTCCTGTTCTAGCTTTGACTCCCTGGGATGGGCTTCTGCCCCCCTCACTGGACTCGGGCTTCACCTGCTAAGATCCCCAGTAACCTGCTAACTAGTACGGAACGTCCAGACCCTTCCAGACTTCCCCACATCCTTCCACCTGTCCTCTGTCTTCCTCCTGCTGTCCACCTCGCCCCGGAAACCATCCAGCACGCCTCTGCTCTGAGAGGGGAAGATGGCCCACAGGCTGCCTCCCTCCCTGTCTCCCCCTCCCGCTCTGTGGCCAGCTGGCGATCTCAGTGTGATCGGAGTCCAGATCCTCCTGGCAGAGCGTCGCGCTCCAGCTCAGCAACTTCAACACGGAGCTCCCCGGTTTCTGCCAGCCCTGCCCTGCCCTGCACCTCCCATCTGCTGAGTGGCCCCAGCTCTGTCTCCTCACCTAGGCCCCCAGGCCAGAGCGCCGGGCGGGCTCTCATGCCTCCACGCCTTTGTCCCTGCGAATTCCTCCTTCCTGAGACTTTCTCAGTGGCATTTCCTAGGCCACCGGGTGGGGAAGGAGGTGGCAGGACCAGCTCCGAGGGACCTCGAGAGCCTGGGGTTGGGAGAGAGGGTGTCTCCGAGGTCAGATTCAGCGACCAGCGGCCTCGCTGGGCTCTACCCCTCGGTCAACTGGTTCAATTCAGAGGCGCCTGGTAACTGGCCCCTCCGCGAAGGATCACTGGCGTCCAGGCAGCGGTCTCCAATGAGAGGCCGTCCTCAATGACTAGTCCCAGAATGTGGGAGAGTCTGAATCAGACCCAGCACCAGCCGTGTCCCCCGCGTGCTGCTCCCTCTCACAGGATACTGAGGCATCACTGAGTGCATTTTAAAAATGGGGAAGTTAGTCAGGTTCCACGACCACTAATCCTATAAGCACAAGCTCAACCACGCGCCTCTGCGATGCAGGCCCACCTCCAGCCCCGATTCTGCAGCCGGTCCCCAGGCTGAGAGCAGCACAGTCCCACCCTGCAGTCCCTGCCACGGTGGGAGCAGTGACACAGCGTGCTGGTTACTCGTCTTGTAACCAGTGTGTGTTCCCACAAGCCAGGCAGGGGGTCGGGGACCCGGCCAGAGCTCGCCAACGCCCTGGTTGGTTCTTAGCTTCTCTCTCTCTCTCTCTCTCTCTCTCTCTCTCTCTCATTTTTTTTTTTTAATTTCAGAGAGGGAGAGACAGAAACAGCAACAATGAGAGAATCATCGATCGGCTGCCTCTTACACACCCCACACTGGGGATCAAGCCCGCAACCCGGCCCCATGCCCTGACCCGGAATCACACTGTGACCTCCTGGTTCGGAGGTCAAAGCCCAGCCACTGGGCCACGCTGGGCGGTTCTCAACGTCTTCAGAAGACCCCATAGTGGTGCCAGGTTCCGCGAGCCAGCCGAGCGCCCCCATCCTTTACCCAGACCTCCTCCTGCACCCTCCACTCCACCTTCCCAAGAGCGAAGGGGAGAGCCCGCGGGCAGAAGCAGGTCTGCTGCTCTGAGAACTTGGCTTTTGCCTAAAGAGCTGCTCCAGATGCAAAGCTGGAACCGGAGGGTCCCCATAAGCGGGGAGGGGGGCCTCCAGGTGCCAGCAGTGACACCCCTCCCGCCCCCTGCAGCCCCAGGAAGAAATCCAGTGGGTCGGGTGTTCTTTAAATCGCTTCCATTTCACTTAGAATTGAGGTTCGCCAGGTCCCTGGGGAGATGTGAATTTTCTTCCCCCCCCCCCGTTTTTTTTCCCCCCCCCCCCCCCGGTTTTCTCTGGCCGGTGAGTCAGGCCTGGGCCAGTTAGAGCCCGGTGCGCATGCGGTGGTGGGAGATGCGGTGTAGCGTGAACCCGTGTCACTGGGTCTTAAGCAAACTGAGAGGCAAAGCTAAGGGGAGCTGGCTGTTTCGTTGCCTTTGTCACCCCAGAGCTGCTGGGCAGGAGGGCATTGACAGCAAAGGGGAAGGAGCCGGTGGGGATGCGGCCTGAACGCAGGCGAGGGTGTGTTCGCCAAAGTCAGAATAGGCTCTATGTCCTTCAGGGTAGACCAGCAGAGTCAGGTATAAACTGCCCCCTGCTGGCAGACACAGAGAAGTTCATAAAAATGTCCACCTCTTTAAAAAGTCATATTCTGGCCTGGCTGGTGTGGCTCAGTGGGTGAGCATTGACCTATGAACCAGGAGGTCACAGTTGGATTCCCAGTCAGGGCACATGCCCGGGTTTCGGGCTTGGTCCCCAGTGTGGGGTGTGCAGGAGGCAGCCCACCCAGGATTCTCATCATTGATGTTTCTCTCTCTCCCTCTCCCTTCCTCTCTGAAATCACTAAAAATATGTGTTTTTTACAAACGTGCTCTCTTGGGGACTTGGAGAGCTGCCTTCATTATTCCTATGACAGCCTCGCTCCTGCAGTGTGGGCCTGGTCAGTCTCTCCGGAGAGCTTATGAGGAATGCAGACTCTCAGGCCCCTCCTGGGGTCCCGGAATGAGTCCACACGTCTGCAGGATCCCCGGGGGATTCATGATCCACGTGCACATTTACACATGAGAGCCCTGAGCATGACTTCAGAAGGAACTCTGACCCAGGGGACAGTGCGCTGTGCCCTCGGGTTCGGGTCAAATTCAAGTCACTTTGCTCAGTGAGTGAACACCACTGAAGGGCAAGGAGAGTTTGATCCCTGACCGCTTTATGCCCTGATTTTCTTACTCCTCTTGCTGCACATGTCCTCGCACATCACTCACCCTTTCACCTGCTGTGTCTCGATGGCCTGCGGTATTTCAGCAGCAGCGTCTGTCCCGGGGAGGATGGGAGGGGCAGGGGTTCTGCCTCTGGCATCCTCTGTGTCCCTCTCCCGTCCTGAGGCCCTGCTGGTACCATCTGCGTTTGCCAGGAGCGGTGGGCCGCGGGTGGAGCTGCCGGGCACTGCCCATCCGTCTAACCACGGTGTTCTTTCCCGTGCCAGGTCAGGGAAGAGTGCCGGCTCCTGAACGCCCCGCCGGTTCCGCCCCGAAGCGCCAAGCCTCTGTCCACCAGCCCCTCCGTCCCGCCTCGCGCAGCCAGGCCCCGGCCGCAGACTCGCTCTCCCAGCCCCACCCTGTCCTACTACTCGTCAGGGCTGCACGACATGTAAGTTCACGCCAGGGCCACTCTGGCAGGCTCTGCCCAGCCCGGGTCGGGGGTCCCCAGAGCCATGTGGAGGGAGCCCCCCCGCCGGCAGGTGGCGGAGAGGAGACATACTTGTTGGTCCTGAGCTAGGATGAGAGCCAGTGTCCCAGGAGGAAGGAGCCCGAGCCTGAGGAATTCAGGGATAAAGGCTGACTGGGTTCCCTTAGAACAGTGGTTCTCATCCTCAGGAAGACCCTGTGAGTTAATTGTTATGAATGTCTTCACCTCCTCCC